AAAATTTTCATCTTTGGATGAGGTAGGCTGGATTTTTGATAATGACCAGACTTTGTTTTTTTAGGCAATGTGTTCAAAAGTAGTTTATCATATTAAGTATGGTAAAGAATATTACTATTAAGAAAAATGTTTAAAAAATCAAACAAATAAAAACAAATAGTATCCGAAGTGTGACCCTTTCTCACAAGTCAGTTTTGCTCACATTTGCGAAGAGGATTTCTGGACAAACTATCAGCAAATATATTATGTGTCTGATTGTCAGAGGACAGTACAGTTTTAGATAGAGTTGTTTCATCAAGATATGCATACATTTTACGAATACTGTATTACTTAATAGCAGTATGTTTGAATTTTGTTCCTCTGATATTTTAATGTTGTAGACAACTTTAGATTACCCAGCTTGTCACATGATGCTACACTTATTATGGCATTTTCTGTGTTTATTTAACCAAATAGGTATCTTAGAGAGACTCCTGTTTTGTAAACTGTTTTCTTGGCATGAGCCTTGTCATCAGACCAAAATAAATTTCAGCTCCCTCTCTATCAGTTACTAGGTAGGTGACCCATTATTTTTGCATGTGTAAATTGAGAACGATTATCCTGTCAAAGATTTTGTGCATGAGAATTAAGCACAATAAAGAATGTAAAAAACCCCTGGTCTATTCCCCTGACTAGCATGATCTCCAGTTTCCTGATCCAGCCTCTTCCAAATAGGATAAGAATCAAAATTTCAAGTGTCTCTGAGATATTTTTAAAAATCCATTATACAAATACATTAACAAAATTATGCTTAAAGAACAATGAGGTGGTTTTATGGATTTTATGATTTTTTTATTTCTAAATTTTATTTTATGTATTTGGGTCCAGAGTCTCACTATGCAGCTTGGACTCATAGAGTTCCTCCTATTTTCAGCCTCCTCAGTGCTGGGATTACAGGATTGCACTACCGCAACGGGTCTCTGTGGCCAGCTCAGCACACGGGGGTGGGGAGTGGGCGGGGCCAGCACAACATGTGGTACCAGGGATGGAACCCTGGTCCTTCTGCTTGCCTAGGCAGGTGCTTAGACCCCTGAGCTATCTCTGTGCGGCCCGACTTTATGATTTTAAAACATCCTAGAATAACTCTTTCTTTCTCTAGGCTATAGCCATGTGTTTGAACATAACTAGCAAATATTTTTTAAAATAGCAATTTCTAAATATCCAGTGATTTCAGTGATTCATTAAAATACTTTTGTTTCCTTAGGAAAAAAGTTTCCACATATGCACAGTAATCATTTGGCATTTTGCAGGCTTAAGCCTTGGGGAGTTTGTGGTATTTGGCTCCCGACATGGAAGTTTTTCTCTTGTCAGACAAATCCTTTCTCCTGCACATTCCTGCTCAAGTTCGCTTCTCTCCTGCCTAGTGGCAGGCTTTGCGGTGGTCTGGGCCGGGTGTGCCTCCGCCCTTAGCTTAACTTTGTAGCTGTTAACCCATTCATTGCTTCATCTAAGATCAGAGTGATATTTCATGGAGAAAATTTATCATTATGAAGCTGTGGCAATAAAACGTAAATATGTATTCAATAAGACAACTAGTAGTCTATAAAAGCCCTTTTGATGTCTTTTTCAGTTTTGTTAATGATTCTTTAGAGTCGTGTGAGAAAAGTATGAATATTTATGAGACTTGGATAATTTTAGAAGTGATTGATCATTTTGAGAAAAAAGTATGTACTAGATTACACTTTGACCTTGATTCCACAAATCTAGGTCTTGATGATTTGAGATTTAATCTCAATACTTTGAATAATATGTGTCATTCTCAGAAAAGAGTGTAACACCAGGGATAGTTCATCCCAACATGTAAATATAAAGTGAATATGGAATATGGGAAAAGAAAACAGGAGCAGAGTGTTGTGTTTATTTTAAAAAGTGAGGAATTTATGGATATTCACCAAAGCGCAGACACCAGAGAGCAGCGACTCAAGATTCTGAGGAAGGAAATTAGCCAGTGTCAGCCCAAGTCACTTGTTCTATTCTGTGTTCCTGTTTTCTTCAGAGTCATACTTCAGTTTAAGACATTTACGCAAATTTAAATTTCACACTTGAGGTCGTTATTGGGCCATTTGTGTACTTTGAAATTCTTATTTTAACTAACAGTGATGACTATTAGTCTACAAATGTTTGTGTGTTAAAATGTACATTTAAAATTTTTTCACAGTTATTTTTGAAAAATAGTTTAACTTTATTTGAAAATAGTGCAAGTAGGCATAATATTCCGATATTCTGCCTCATGAAAGATATATCATAGGTTCCCTTTTTTGTAGAGCCACAGTTCTTTATATCAAAAGGGAATATTTTGGCATGGATATTTATATGAGTAGAGATATGTGTATGAACTATAAAGTGTATCAGTATATATATTGACAGAATGATTTTTTAAAACTAGACTAATGCATATTTTATTTATTTTTTTGCATATTTTAATACAATGGCAAGTTTAACACAATGAGAAAAAAATGATTTTTTGTCATTGTGTACTGAAAAATATGTAATTCTAAAGATTAATTTATTTGTATCAAATAGTACCATTCAGTGGCTTAGCAGCAAAAACTCCTAAAATTAGATACCAGTTAGAATATACAGGTTTATAATCTGTAGCTTAAATTTAGCTGTTATCAATTAAAAATTTAAGGTCTTATATGATTGGCATTATTGATCACAAAAAAATTTTACATTTGCACTACAATTTCCAGTTTTCAAATCTTATACATATATAACTTAATTTAATTTCACCTAGGACTTAATTTCTGTTAATTGTGGGTAAAATATTTCCTTGCCTTTATTTGGATAATCAGCATAGCCAAGGCTCTTTTATTTAAAGCATGAATGCTACAGCTAAACAAATGAAACAATTATATGCAAAGCCTGCCTGACAAATTAATGCTGAGCTGGACATTAACAGGAAAAAGAAATCAGCTTTATAGATAATAATGAACACTTGTAGAGACTAAAGCCACCCTGCAGTTCAGTTTTAATCTCCTTTTCATATAAAGTGTGCCAGAATATTCAAAAGAGAGTGTTTGCATGTGCTGCGGTAGTATAGGCTTTGCATAAACACACACCACAGAGAGAAACAGAACTGTGATTGGAGCAGTAAACCGTAGTATTTGTGTAATTTTGTAATGGAATTTAAAACTAGTAATAGCTTTAGAGGTCATTTAGTTTAGTCTCCTCATTTTACACATAATCAATGTTGCTATAGTGTTTTCGATATTGAAATATAGAAAAATATAGATACGTTCAAATCTGTACAAAGGGACATGATAAGAAGCATAACTAGGTTGGCATGATTGATCATCACCTATCGGCAAGGCATGCTCACTTGCACGGACTAAGTTATCTACTCATCCACAGAAGATAACCACATCGACATCCTAAATAAAAAGTGACACATGTATTTATAAATAACAGCCCCGTTGTGGTCATTTGTACCTCGTAATATGCCTCACCCTTTCAGCACCCGTCTCACACAGAGCAGCTATTCATCCATCTGAGGTAGTGTTCATTAAATGATACATTTATAATTAGAGATCTTGATCTTGGAGCTAACGGTTATGTTAGACGCATAGAATCTGGTTAATGCATTTTGATAACATTTGCAAAACTATTGAGCATTCTGGAGTAATTTTTTCTGTTCACACTCATGAAACAGAATGTTTTTGTTTCTGTAAAATTATATGAGAGAGGATTACAATTTTCAGAGAAATATGTGGTATAGAAAGCTTTTTTGGTCACTAAAATAATGCATTTGTAAGCGTTTGCATTCTTTTAGTATAATTCATAATCAATTTGTTGATAGTACAAGTATCTTATGTTCAGTGAAAGTATTTGGAAATATTAAAAAGCAGGAATAAGAAAACACTAATTAATCACAGCCTTGCCAGGGAGAAAATCAATACAGAATATACCATTTTAATGAATATCCCTCCCACACTAGGTATCACTTCTCTGTTCTTCCAAGACCCACATACACATCTACACTTGCCTGTTTATTAGGAATTCTGGTTCTTTAATTGTGTGCGCTGTAACCTTTGCCAGGATACTTCACTTAATGTCTTTTTCTTTTATATATAGATAGTAGTAATAATCATCTGTTGGAATTGTAAAGATTAAATGCGGTAATAAATATAAAAATTTTAAAATATCCTGCATAATGTGTAATATTACATATGTGGCGACAGGATTAACGTATATTTTGGATTACCATTTTCTTGTTTTTTATCTGAAAAATGAGTCCCTACTAGTACTTTGTATTATTTGCAATCAGCCTCAATAAAGTGTTTTTTGTTCTCTATGATAATGGGGGTAAGTGGGACATCTGAAAACTATGTTCCACGCCAAATGGATCTTCACACAGACTTATTTTGTCATTTTAGTTTGATTTTTGAGAAATGAGCTCAGCACATCTGCCAAGTCTTTTAAAAGATGCTACATTCCTGTTTTTATTTTGGCTTATTTCATTTGAGAAAAGCTCTTTTCTTTTTCACCCTGCCCCACACAGTTAATTTCCTATACTCTACTCTTGCCCACCCTAGACTTAGACTTTACCATATATTACATCTTTGCAAGTGAATAAAAAATGTGAAGAAAAACTAGAAGGATTTCATTGTAATTTTTTTTAAAAAAAGTCATATTCATGTAGCTGGTTTTGAAACAGTAACCAAAAATCCCCCACGTTGAATTCTTTGTGACACTTTGAAAATACACAACTTGATGATGGACTTCTTTTTATCTGCTAAATTTGGAAAAACAGACTTTCTTTTTTTCAGTGTGGGAAGGAAGCAACTGGTTGGGGAGGGAAGGGATGGAGAAAAACAGATGAAGAAGAATCAGTTTGCAAACATATGTTAATATTTAGATTCTTTTTTTGTAAAGTGAAAAGTTAACTAGTTAATGTGTTGTTGTCTTTTTTTTTTTTTGCCAACTATCTTTGATACTGTGTTTTGTTTATTCTATCCCAGAAGAAGTTAGCGGTATACAGCAAGATGCAGGACTCTCTGGAGGTCACCCTTCCCAGCAAACAAGAGGAGGAGGAGGAGGAGGAGGATGAGGAGGAGGAGGAGGAGGAGAAAGACCAGCCTGCCGAGATGGAGTACCTTAACTCTCGCTGTGTCCTTTTCACTTATTTCCAGGGAGACATTGGGTCAGTAGTGGATGAGCACTTCTCAAGAGCTTTGGGCCAAGCCAGCACGTTCCATCCAGAATCTACCATTTCAAAAAGCAAGATGGGGCTAACCCCCCTATGGCGAGGTAAGAATTCCAAAGCAGATGCTCTCGGGGCGCTGTCTCTGTTTCGCAACTGCTTGTACCAGGTTCCAGCTGGAGATATGCCCCTGGAGGACGGATATCCACTTGCTTTTTAATTTTTAAGGACAGCAAGGAATTTCTTTCAGACAAACAGCTGGATCAGTTTTGTCACATGTGGAATGCAGGGTTGGAAACAATGCAGTCACACCCCTTAAATTCCACATGAAAAGCAGTGACACAACGGGCCTGAGTTCACAGTGGCCAGCTTGAGCTGCAGAGCACCATTCCCAAAGCCCCGATGGCCCAGTTTGGATCTCTGAATAATAAGCAAGCCGAATTCAGCTTCTAAAAGTTCAGCTTTTGCTCATTCATTGCACAAGGTGTTACGTGGTGACAGCTAATATCTCAGTCTGACCCAGAGCCGTGGACTCCAAAAGCCTCCTCCTGTGTTCTCTGATAGCTTTCTCTGTTGACTTGCTGCAGAGTGACCTGCTGTCGTGTGTAACCTGGGCATTGCAGCAGGAACTCCATGCTTTAAACTAGTGTTTTACCTTGATAAAGAAAAAACTGGATTGAGCATCATTTTCTTTCTTGCTTTTTGTGTGGAAGGTGCAGAGATTTGATTTCTGGTCCCCAAAAATCATGGGTAACATCTTAATTATTGTAGGTACAAGACTAGAGAAAAAAAATTATACATCATTTCAGTGATAGCTTCAAAGAAATGTGTTACAGGTTTATTCCAATTTACCTGATATAGGTGGGGAGATAGATCGGCGGTTGAAGTGCCTGCCTGGCAAGCTCAAGGACCCATGTTCGATCCCTGGTACTGCATACCTGGTACTACAGGGCCCCTAAAACCTGGCATGGTGGCACATGCCTGGAATCTCAGCGCTGGGGAGGCTGAGACAGGAAGATCATTATTAGTCCCAGATGCATAGGGAGACCCTGTACCTACTCACCTGGTATAAGAATTAAATAGCATAATCCTCTTCAAAGTGTTTTCTGACCAAGTATGTGGTGTAGCAAGGGAGTGTGTTAGAAATGCCAGTTCTGCAGCCTTACTCCAGACCTGTTCTGTGAAGCTCTCCCGTGGAGTCATTTGTGTTTAGCCCTTCAGTCACTCAAGCGTTGGCTGCTGTGTGGCAGCCACTGGTCTACCGATGTCAGAGACATATCCCCACCTCCTTACTTGCACACTACCAAAGTCTAATCTCCAGAGGAAGGGATGGAAAACCACACTTGAACAAACACCCGAGTGAGCTTCTAAGAAGCGGGCTGTGATGGGGTCAGGTGAGTCCTCAGGACCAGGTTCAAAAGCTCCGGTCTACTAAGAAGCTGGTCACGGCTGGTATGATCCGAGGGTCTCAGACTTCCTTTCCACCCTTTCTTCTTCCTTCCTTACCCCCTTCCTCTTTCTGTTCCTTTTTTCTTCTCTTTCCACACTGTCTCTTATTTTTCCTCTTTTTTTCTTTCGTTTTTCCTTCCATCTCTTTTTTTCTTTTTCCTTTCTTTTTATAGTACATGTAAACAACACTTAGATAAGCAGTGACTATTGCCCCTTATAAGGGAAGGATGGAATACACAGGCAAGTTAACATAAGAGGGTTTGATAGAAGTGAATTGGCAAACACACAGCTGTGTCATTAGTAAATACAGCAGACTTCTTCCAAAGCTAAGACGGCTGTATCCCTGGAAGCCTAGATGTATTTAGAATCAGTGGATATACTACCTAATAGCACATGGCACCTAACCTTAATACTTTGTAGAGAATGAACACAGGAAACCACCAGTTTTTAATACATAAATAAATACATCAATAATAAATCTCAGGGCAAAGGAAATAGCTCAGTGACATAAGGGCTTGCCTGGCATGCTTAAGGTCCTGAGTTCGATCTCTGGAACAACAACAACAACAACAACAACAAAAAAAAAAAATACATAAAATAATAAATCTAATCAGGATAATCAGGTCCAGAAGAATACAAAACACAATATTTACTTTATTAGCACATTGGTGTTTGTAACCAAGTGATCATGTAACCTAGAAAAGAGAAACTAGGGCCCAAAGTTGTGTAGAATGATTTTCTCTAGTATCACTGCCAGAACAGTGTTCAGTGGGAGGGTGTTGTATGTGTCAATAACCCTACAACAGTTCAGCATTTGCTATATAATTTGCATGACTTGAAGAAATCAGAGTAGACCTTTAGTCAATTATTACATTTTAATATAGAAGAAGTAAATAATAGTAATATTTAAAAGCTATTATTAGAATTTTCTTGGCATCTTTTTGAAATTGATCCTCAAAATTCTCGCCTGTTCATTTATCTTTCCTAAAAATTATGTTTATTGGAAAATTTAGATATACATAAAAATTGTGTTCATCATAGTCATCAATTTGTACTTGCATGTGACACATTCTGCTGGCTCCTTTTTCCAGTGCCTTCCTATCCCTTTAGCACCTCTTCCCCTTTGTTTTCATTTTATCTTTTTTTTTTAAAGCCTTTCTCTCCTTTTCTCTTTTTCTCTTTTCCTTCCTTGTTTCTTCTCTCCTCTTCAACAATGTTGTTCCTGTTTCACAGTGTCTGTCGTATGCCATGGATCACATTTACTCTGTCAGTTTCCCACGTCAGGGAGGTAGCATGATGTTTGTAGAAGTGTCTGATTGATTTCTCTTAAGAGAATGGTCTCAAGGTACGTCCATTTACCTAAAAGTGTTTCAAGGTTAGCCTTCTTTATGGCCAAGTAATACTCCATTGTATATAAAAAAAACCTCTTCTTTTATCCATTCCCTGGTTGATGAGCATTTGAGTTGTTTCCGTGATTTAGCTATTACAATCTGTTGCTGTAAACATGGGTGTGCATAAATCTCTCTAGTATAAAGTTTTTAATTCTTCAAGAAAGATACCCAGAAGGGGAAGAGTTGGAACAAATGGGACCTCTAATTCTGTTTTATTTTTAAGTAATCTCCACACTGATTTCCACAATGTTCATGCCAGTCTACACCCCCATGAATGGTGGGAAAAGGAACAGGATTCCTTTTTCCCACAACTCCTCCAGCACTTGTTATTGGTTCATTTCTTGATGATGTCATTTTTTCAGGGGTGATCTGGAATCTTAAAATTGTTTTAATTTGCATCTCTTGAATCATCAATGAGGTCAAACATTTTATCATAAAAGGAATGAGGATTGAAAAGGAAAAGATTTAATTATCATTATTTGTAGATGATATGATACTCTCCAGAGAAGTTTCTAAAGACTCCCCCAAAAGTCTTGTAGATTTAATAATCAGATTCAGTAGTGTAGCTGGATACCAAATCAATCCTTAATGCTCAATAGCGCAAGTACACAGACACCAAACTCAATGTGTGAGAATTTAGGGTAACAAAACCCTTTATAATAGCATCCAAAAAATTGAAATATTTAACAATCAATCTGTCTTGGTTGCTTCTCTCTCATTGTTGGGGCAAAAGACCTGATATCCCAAATTAAGGAAGGACAGGTTCATGTAGCTCACAGTGTGTGGAGGCTTTAGCCTGTACTCACCTGGGTTCAGGAAGAGCGGCACATGGCAGAGGGCAGCAGCGTGTGGCAGTGGAAAGCAGGAAAACAGCAAGAGCAGGAACAGGAGTAGAGGCAGCAGATGCAGCAGCAGCAGAGGTAGAAAGCAAGCCTCTCCCCCTTCCTTACACTGCGTCTGGGCTCTCCGCCCCAGGACAGGTGTAGCACTCACACCTATAATCCCAGCATTGTGTCATGAGGTAATCACAAACTTTAGGAGCCTGTTACCCCATCACTGTATGAGGCTTTGGGGGGACAGCTAGACACAAACCATATCACAATCGAACAAAGAAAGCAAAAAAGCAAAATACCTATATACTGATAAGTACAGTACTCTGTAAAAAGAGATCAAAGAGGATGTTAGAAAATATAAATATATCCCTTGCTCATGGGCTAAAGAACCAACATAGTGAAAATGGCCATGTGTCCATAATTCTTGCATAGATTTAATACAATCCCAATCAAAATATCAGCAACATACCTCACAGAACTAAAGAAAACATTCCTAAAATTCACTTGGAACCAGAAGAGACCTAGAATAGCAAAAATAATTCTGACCAACAAAGGCAAGGCAGGGTTTTATAGTGCCTGGCTTGAAATTATACTATAGAGCTACTGTGATAAAATCAGCATGGTACTGGCAGAAAAAGAAAGAAAGAAAAAACCTAGACCTGTGAAACAGATCACAACATTTGTTGGTTTATGAAACACATATTTATTAAACTTTCTTAGTGCTGAAAAACTTTCAGTGTATTAGGCCCTTATCAGTGAATGGGATACCTGAAGGCTCCGCATTTATGAGCTGATAGAGCTAAAGACACTGACAGGGCTGGGGAGATAGCTCAGTAGAATAAGCGTTTGCCTGGCAAGCGCAAGGGCCTGAGTTTAGTCCCCGATTCTGCCAAAAAAAAAAAAAAAAGAGAATGGTAGAAATAGGTAATAAACATATTGTCAAACATATTATGACACACAATGCCAGCTTTAATAGGGGCTAAGTCATGAAGTCCTCTCTGACAGAGTTACATTTGAGTAGGAGCCTGATGACCAGCAGGGCGTTTGTGCTGTGGCTTTCTAGTGGCAGGTCATTCTGCCCAGAGGGAGCAGACTACGCATTTGCTGAAGGGAACCTGAGCTAACAATGACCAGGAGAAGCAGCGTTTGCATGCCTGTGCTGAGGTGAAAAGTCACGGGTACTAAACAAGTGTTTCAAAGATTATTCACTCTTCTTCTCCCCCAGATTTTACAAAATCCACAGTGATATCATGTTCCTATTTTGTATCATTTTTGCTTGTCTCACGTCATTTTCCTTATCTTTGTTTAAATTTTCTTTTTTTAAATTTTTTTTTTAAACTGAGGAATTGAATTACTTGTTAAAATCTCTTATTCATTAAGGTTCTGTTACTTTAAGTATATTATTTTCATTTGTGAACAGAATTTTGCTGTTGT